AAGAAATCCTCGATTAACGTTAACAACGAACCAGAACCTTTTGGACGTTACTGTCGACAATGTTCGTGTCAGTGCGTTGATAGATACTGGCGCGCATGTGTCCATTATGAGTGCTAACCTTCGCCGCCGACTTAGAAAAGTTGTAACGCCCGCCCTCAACCGAGCTGTACGAGTCGCCGATGGAGGAACTGCCGCAATTCTTGGCATGTGCTCTGCGCGAGTGTCTATTGGGGAGAGAAGCACTGTCGTTCTTTTCGCCGTTATCGAACATTGCCCTCATGAACTCATTCTCGGTATGGATTTTCTAGCCACGCACTCTGCCCTCATAGACTGTTCAGCTGGCTCTCTCCATCTCGATTTACCCCTCTTTTCCGACCCGCCTAGCCCACCGCAAACCAGCCTCTGCTGCATTAATTTCACGCGTCTCCCTCCTAACTCCGTCACACATGTCGACTTATCCTCCACGCCGCCAGTACCTGATGGTGATTACATGGTGGCCCCGATTCCTGCAGTGATGCTTACGCATGGGGTTGCTGTACCGCATATGATTCTGACGATTAAGAGAAACCGCACCTTCCTTCCACTGGTAAACTTTTCAGTCACCACCCAAGTTCTGCCACATGGTATCTCCCTGGCCAAAATTACTGCTCTCCAAGATGACCATGTCGAGCCCTTCAGAGTTGACGATTGCTGCAGCTCAGTCAGTGGTTCCACTCCATCACGTTCTTGGGGTGCCGACATTGAGCGAATGGTGTCATCGGACCTCACGTCTGAGCAAGCTTCAGCGCTTTGCCACGTTCTTGAGGGCTATCGTAGCATTTTCGACTTTGCCAGCAACTCTTTAGGCCAAACGACCATTGTCACCCATCGCATAAATACTGGCCATGCAACCCCCATTCACCGACGCCCCTACCGTGTGTCGGCGTCGGAGCGTGCAATATTACAACATGAAGTTGGCAAAATGCTTGCGAAAAACATTATCGAGCCTTCATGCAGCCCCTGGGCGTCTCCAGTCGTCCTTGTTAAAAAGAAAGATGGAACATGGCGCTTTTGTGTCGATTACCGTCACCTTAACAAAATTACCAAAAAAGACGTTTACCCCTTTACCTCGCATCGACGACGCCCTCGACTGCCTGTACGGTGCCACCTATTTTTCAACTATTGACCTTCGGTCAGGGTACTGGCAGATAGCCGTCGACGAGATGGATCGCGAGAAGACCGCATTCATAACTCCTGATGGTCTTTATCAGTTTAAGGTGATGCCCTTTGGACTCTGCAATGCACCAGCCACATTTGAAAGAATGATGGACTCATTGCTTCAAGGGTTGAAATGGTCCACCTGTTTGTGTTACCTTGACGATGTTATTGTCTTTTCGCCCACATTCGACTCGCATCTCGATCGTTTGTCAGCTATTTTGGACGTTTTTCGCCGAGCCGGACTCCAGCTTAACGCCTCCAAGTGCCACTTCGCTAGTCGCCAAATTTCCGTGCTTGGTCACCTTGTCGATGCCCAAGGCGTGCGTCCAGACCCAGAGAAAATTCGTGCAGTCACGAACTTTCCCGTTCCGAGGACCACAAAGGATGTCCGCAGTTTTGTGGGGTTGTGCTCGTATTTCAGACGCTTTGTTAAGGACTTTGCGACCATTGCACGCCCACTCACAGACCTCTTGAAGAAAGACGCGTCGTTTACCTGGGGCCATGATCAAGCGTCATCGTTTTCGCAACTTACGACACTGCTTACAACGCCACCAATCTTGGCTCACTTTGATCCATTAGCCCCAACCGAGGTTCACACGGACGCCAGTGGACACGGCATAGGAGCTGTGCTATTGCAGCAACAACGCGGACACGACCGTGTTATAGCCTACGCAAGTCGACTACTATCTCCAGCCGAGCGCAACTATTCCATCACGGAGCGCGAGTGCCTCGCCCTTGTATGGGCAGTCGCCAAGTTTCGCCCATACCTGTACGGGCGCTCATTCCGTGTTGTCACGGATCATCACGCGCTCTGCTGGCTAGCCTCCCTGAAAGACCCCACGGGACGTCTCGCTCGTTGGGCTCTACGCCTTCAAGAGTACACGTTCTCTGTAATGTACAAAACAGGGCGATTACATCAGGATGCGGATTGTTTATCCCGCTACCCTGTTGACGAAGCAACCGATACCGACGCTATCACGGACGTTTTTTCCGTGTCGCAGCTGTTAAACATTGGCGAAGAGCAACGTCGGGATGCTTCTTTGCGAGCCATCATTGACAAACTGGAGTCAACGCCACGCGACCCGTCCGTACGAATGTTTTTGGTGAAAGACGGGATCCTATATCGCCGAAACCTTGATTCCTTCGGATCAGACTTACTTCCTGTCATCCCAGCGCACCTGCGTTCCTCTGTCCTGCATCAACTCCATGACGCTCCCATAACGGGCCATTTGGGCGTTTCTCGCACGTACGATCGAGTACGACGTCGGGTTTTTTGGCCTGGACTTGCCCGCTCTGTTCGACGCTATGTCGCCGCTTGTGAGCCTTGTCAGCGTCGCAAAACGCCGTCTGCCCTCCCAGCCGGCTACCTTCAGCCGATCGACGTTCCCAACGAGCCTTTCTTCCGAGTTGGTCTCGACCTGTTGGGCCCTTTTCCATTCTCCACAGCCGGAAATAAATGGATTGCTGTTGCCACGGACTACGCTACGCGGTACGCAATCACACGAGCACTCCCGACCAGCTGCGCTACCGACGTTGCGGACTTTCTGCTGTACGACATAATATTAGTGCATGGTGCTCCCCGTCAACTTCTCACCGACCGTGGTCGCACGTTCTTATCAGCTGTCGTTCATGAAATCCTGAGGTCTTGTCATACCAAGCACAAATTTACTACGTCGTACCATCCCCAGTCAAATGGCCTCACGGAGCGCCTTAACAGGACCCTAACCGATATGCTTGCCAAATACGTTGCGCCAGACCACCACGATTGGGACATTCATTTGCCGTATGTGACGTTCGCCTACAACTCATCTCGTCACAACACTACCGGATATTCGCCCTTCTACCTACTATATGGCCGGGACCCAACTCTACCTTTAGACACGTTACTACCTGCGACCACTGAATATGCTGGTGAAGCCATTGCCCGCGCCGACCACGCGCGCCAAGTCGCCCGTAACCGTCTACAGGCTTCACAGGCGCGCCAACAACAGCTCTACAATTCTCACCATAGGGACGTGCACTTTTCTCCGGGTTCTCTCGTGCTCCTCTGGTCACCTACTCGGCGTGTGGGACTGTCGGAAAAACTGTTGTCGCCCTACACTGGACCATTCCGTATCGTTCGCAAAGTGACAGACGTCACGTACGAGATTGTTCCAACTGATCCCACAAAGTCATCGTCAGCTCCGAGCGACACCGTTCACGTGGCTCGGCTAAAGCCCTATTACCCCCCTTCGACATCATCTGCGTAAATTTAGCACCGGGACAGTGCTTCTACCGCCGGGGGTTATGATACGAAAATGCGGCTAAACACGGCTGCAAGAAAGAGGAGGACGAAGTGGGTTTTTCCGTTGGATGCTGGTCTGGCGCCATCTTACTCGTCGAGTTCTGTGCGCTGTAAATAGATCATTAAAGAAGTTACTCGTAACAATATATATATATATATATATATATATATATATATATATATATATATAAGGAAAAGAAGTGTATACCTAAGGGCTCGTTTTTCCATGCTTTAACACAATATTAATGAGATATAACAGACAGTAATGCCAAGGAATGTACAGGGGAAGTTATTAGAACAAAGGGAATGTAAATAAGAAGAAAGAAAAGTGGATGAAAAAATAACCAGCCGTGAGCAGGAAACGAACCTACGACCTTCGAATAATGTGTTCGACGCTCTAACCACTGAGCTACCACAGCGGCCTTCCCTTCATCCACTTCTTTTTTGGGTTTGTATGTGAATTTAGAAGTAGGAGTGACACTCAGCGCCATCTATAAGCCAAACGGCGAGTGTTAAAACACTCTTATGCGTTCGGCTGGTTATTTTTTCAACGACTTTTCTTTTCTTATTTACATTTCATTGGTTCTAATAACTTCCCCTGTACATTTCTTGGTAATGCTGTCGGTTATATCTCATATATATATATATATATATATATATATATTTATATATATATATATATATATATATATATATATATATATATATATATATATATATATGAGAAAATTGTATACCTAAGGACTCGTTCTTCCGTGTTTTAACACAACAATATTGAGATCTAACAGACAATATGGCCAAGGATTGTATGGGAGAACTTATTGGAAATAATGTATAATAAACAAAAGAAAAAAAAAGTGGGTAAAAAAATAACTTGCCCTCATCAGGAATTGAATCTACGACCTTCTAATAACGCGTTCGATGCCCCCCATCCACTTTATTGGGTTCATATGTGACTATAAACGTGGGACTTCCTTCCTTGGCAATATTCTCTGTTATACCTCAGTATATACATATATGTATGCACACCTTTTCAACCAGGTTGCATGCTGGCACTCTAGCATGCATAGATCTACATCTAATTGAATTACAACAGTTCGATAGTAAGCTGAGATGCATTTCGGTAAACAACAAAAAAGAAAAGCTATGCATACCAGAACACTTCAGTGTTGGCGCAGCGAGAATAAAGCCGTTAATAATGGTTGTGGGAATTTTTCTAAAGTAAAAATTCTTGCTTTTTTCATGAGATTTTCATCATAGGGCTAGGAAAACACAAATGAATCAATGGCTTCAGCTGCTGTCCATCCAAAAAATCACAGTAGCCGATTAGACGAAATTATTAGTATTTGTTTCTTTGAAGCTTAGAAACATGCAAAAAGCTACAATATTTCTTCATAATAGTTTTATTCCTGTGTAATAACATGCAAGAGAAAATTATTTTGCTGGAGAGCATATTACAGATGGAAAACGTTGTGATCAGTAAGCTAAATGTACCTATTGATGAAATTTGTATGCGCAGGGTTCTTGACCCAACTCATCATTTGTTGTATGGGCAACTTATGCCCAACTGAACAGCCATAAAGTGGATCAAGTCTACTTCAAGAAAGGGCCGACATAAAGTTGTGCGACCTGGTTGTCCTGATGACGTTTGTTTGTTGAATAAAGCGTGCCTGATTTCGTTTTGTACAAGCTGTCACCTAATCACGAAATCTGGCTTCCAAGGCATCTTGCATATTTATGCAGGCTCCCAATACGCCATGGTTACACAAAAGAAACACTGTTAGTGTTACCGATCTTTTAAAAGAGAATTTTGTAAAAAAGACAACCGTGTAAAAAAGTGTTTACATACGAAATGTTGGACATTAATAAAAAAGTGTGCGAAGAACGACGGAGAGTGAGTAAAAAGACAGCTTCAATAGATCTGTAGTGTTTGTATTCTTCAGGGTGTAAGATCCACCTTTTTTCAGACAGTTTAGTGCCCACTGGGCATACAAAACGTTTTTAATACCATTGTCCCACGGCCAAGGAAGAAATGACATTAACTTATGGTAATTCCATCGGCCTATTGTAGTAAGAAGAAAAAATATTATTAGGCAATAATGGTCATGACCTTAGACTTTCTAAGCCATAACTTTTGGATAAATAAAAATCTATGAAAATTCACAAAACACTTATGAAGTTTATGAGAAAAATCTATCATTGAAAAACTGCGACAAGAATATTAAAACAATCGTTTCACATAACTTGTCTCAGCTGCACGACAAAAACGAAGTAAAGGCAAGAGCCAATGAAAAACCACCATGGCCGACGATGGGTGGTACAGTCAACTGAAATGTGGGAGCTTGACTGGCACCCCGGCTGCAGAAAAGAGCTGGCGCAAGCTAACTCGTGTAGTCACCACCTTGCTGATCAAAACACGTACAATTGGGCGATCAATGACCGCGATAAAAGCAACAACGAGCATGAATGAACACGACGGGCGTCCAGCCATAATGGAAACTTTGGCCAGTGCAATTACGTCATTAAACAAGTAATACGTATTCTAGTAAAAAATAGTATGTTTTTGAATTGCAAACGTTGACAAGAAAAAGAATTTTGCTCTGGAGCCGACGTTTCAAGACGTCGACTTGTCTTCTTCAGGACTAGAAGTGAGATTAGAGGAATACAAGTCCGCTTGTCGGAAGGCGGGCTTGACCACAAAACACCTGTTTACAGATTTTCTGATCACAAGCTTTCAATTTTACAATCTTGCCATTTTAATAAATGTTGCTAGCCAAGGCCTGTGCTAACGAATCGTCTGGGTTTTGAGTTAAAAAAGACGACGATATGGTCTTTAGAGACTCCGTAGTTTAGGGCTCCGTATATTGCGACCATCTGGTGTTGTTTAGCGTTTTAGCGTGCAATGATATCGCACAGTACACTGACCTCTACCATTCCGCTTCGACGGAAGTACGTCTGCCGCGTAAGTGAAGAAACCCGCGGCCTTGGAGCGATAACCTGAGCACTGGAACCACTATTACACCGGATCATGCGCGTAGCCAGAAATTGTTATTACGGGGGGGGGGGGGGGGGGGGAGGCACCTTCTTGATGTTGGGGAAAGCATCGTTTTGAAATTTTCATATTTTGCTATCGATGGTGTTACAAAAACTAATTTTTGGAAAGGGGTTGGCATGGACCTAGAGTGCCACCTCCTGGTTACGCCCCTGCACCGAGTGAGCGAATCCCAGTAGCCATTTCCCCGTCAGGTGCCTGGCGTCGAGTCTTAGGTCCGAAATTGAATGCAAATGTGTTCCCAGAACTCATTCAACAGTCCACCTCGGTGGAGCAGCCCCTAGTGCGCTCGAATGCTGACTCGAAGGTCGCGGGTTTCATCTCGATCATGGCGAACGCATTTTAATGAAAGGTAGATTTCCGTGTACTGTGATGGATGTCACTGCACGTTGAAGAGCACCAGATGGTCAGAATTTCCGGAGCCTTCCCCTACCCCTTTCCTGGCTTAGAGAAATATAAAATCGAGATATGCTAATTTGATTGGAATTATGTACTGTTTACTCTTTTCTAATATATTTTCCAAAAGCAAAACAAAACAATTTTGAGTATTTGGTGGATGAAAAGAGACCCGCATATATGTGTGGGCTAGGCTTTTGCTCATGTGATTGGCTGCAATGATGAGTACACTCATAACGGCTAATAAAGAACAAAAAACATCTCCAGTGCAGCGTGAGGAATATTTTACAGGATTGTTTGCCACTTCAGAGGCACACTGTCTCACTTGCATTTTCAACGTGCCCTTATATACGAAATGAAACATGTGAGGCGGGAGTGATATGAAGATGTTTAGCTGTACACTGTTAACCAGTGGCCACGTGAGCAAGGTCACTTGCCTACGCCAGGTACTTTCTTCACTCCAAAAGACTTCTCTTGGGATTGATCTCGTCGAACATTTTTTGCAAATTTTGGTTGTTTTGTGCCTTCTTATGTCCATGCTTTTTCAGCGATCTGATGCAGTGATCCGACGTAGGTTCATACCTAAAACTGGTACTTCTTTTGGGGGTTCTCTGCAACGCTTTTTTTAATATCGAGACATAAGGCACATATTCGTACACTGTACATTAAAGCTATGTAAAATGAAACAAAAATCAGGTGCTTTCAAATACATTCTAGGTTGGCGCACACATTCCTGAGAATAATTGTTTTTGGCGTAAACACTCATTACAATTTCTGCAATACCACCTCACATGGCACATTTTATGCATCATAAAGCGCCAGTGAACATGAACCAACGAAATGTAATATCTAAAACATGGATTCCAAAATTCTTGCGATAACGATAGTTATAGTGCGAGAACAGAACAACGACGAAGAGACAAAAAGGATACGAAGGACTCTCTTTGTCGTCATTTTGTTCTCGTGCTATAGCTATCGTCATGTCATACCAACTAGCCCAAGCTGCCACACTTCTTGTGATAAATTAGTCTGAGAGATATAATAAATGATTCTCTTCATCATAAAAACAATGTCTTCATCAGCGGCTCTAGGAAAGTAAAGCTGTGTAGGAAAACTTTTCTTCTTCCAAACCGCAGTACCATTACTCAAGCTGGCTAAGAAGACAACTGGCCTTCAGACAAAGTCTGCTTAGAGGCAGAAAACACAGACACTGCCCCTTCTTATTTCAGTTTTCTTCAGTCAGTGGGTTAAAACAAGTATTAGTCTCTGTAAATTTTACTTCATTGTGGCTACTGAAGCATGAAAGAGCATAACCATATTCCGCGTATCATTTTCATTATATGACATGAAAATTCTTGTCTTTAAAAAAAAGATATATATATTCTGTACTCAAGAATGTGGTTCGCAAAGTTGGCTGCATTTAGCAACTTGAAAATTCCTTGTGATTATTCAGCCTCACAAAATCCTCAGCCCAACTGTACATTACCGCTATGTAAAATAAAAAAAATCAGGAGCCTTTAAATATATTCCAGGTTGGCGCACAAATTTCTGAGAATATTTGTTTTGGTGTAAACATTCATTAAAATTTCTGCAATACCACCTCACGTGGCACGTTTTATGCATCACAAAACGCCAGTGAACAAGAACCAAAGAAATCTAATATTGTGCGAGAAGGCTCTTCGCAGTAAAATGAGAATCTACACAGCCACAGCAGCGCAGAAATGCACCAACGTGCACCGCTCCGCGTGAATTTCAAGAGGACGCGCGTAAAAGTCCATCCCGCACAAACGTGCGTCTCTCATATTTATATCCTGGTTTTGGGACGTAGAACTTCCGATAACTTTGTTATTTTGCGAACTTATTCGACAGAAGATGTCGTCCCCGGCAAATTTTTTTGAGTTCTGATGAGTTTCCCCTTAATGAAACAAATGACATTAAAACATTCACAAAGCAACAGTAGATTAGCCTTGTGATAGGGGTATAGATGTCATATTCTGGAGTTTCACAGACATGTAGCGGTACCTTTTGGTGAAGTTATGAGTAGAAAGAAATCAGTCTTCTTTGCAAAATTTGCTGTGCATTTAACGAGTGCGAAGCAGTAATTGAGCTAAATACTGAGCGTGTTTGCGCATTGACAATAATTAAAAAGAGCTACAAATGTTTCTCTAGTAGTACGATGCGCAAGCAAACCGCGATGAAATGCTTGCTGGATTGCTCATAACAACGACGGGAAAAAGAAGAGCAGCCGCTACAGCTACACGAGCTACAAGAAAAAAAAGAAGGCTTCAGTCGACGCTGCTGTTATGTTGTGAACTGCCATCGACGTAAAAAACTTCAGTTTTACCAAATTAAACAGCTGTCCCATAAAGCAGAATGGCGAGGGCGCTGGATAGAGCTATTGTGAACATGTTGAACAAGCGAATCACTCACGTTCTCAACGTCAGTTAGCATCACAAAGTGTGATAATGTACGTTTTCTGCCATAGCCCCACCGATGTGGTCTAGTGGCTATGGTACTCGGCTGCTGACGCGAAGGTCGCGGGATCGAATTCCTGCTTCGGCAGCTACATTTTTAATGGAGGCGAAAACGCTGTAGGCCTGCATGCTCAGATTTGTGTGCACTCCATAAAATCCAAGGTGGTGGAAATTTCCGCATCCCTCCACTACGGCGTCTCTCATAATCATATGGTAGTTTTGGGACGTTAAACTTCACACATAAATCAATCATCAGGTTTCATGTTATACGTTTGAGTAGCCTTGACGGAGAACCACGGAGTACATGAAGAGGGTAGGGCCGTAAGCTTGAAGAACTGTCGCTCAGTGCCATGATCATGTGCAGAATTACCACTTAGCATGAAAGGAGCGAGGTTAGTGATGTTTTATCAAAACGCACGCCTGCCTTACCTGTCTCTCCTCCTTCGGTCTTACAAAATTATCCGAGAAAATACGGCGTTAATTACACCAGATGGCCTCTTAAAGTTCAAGGTCATGCCCTTCGGTCTTCACTCGGCATCTGCGACTTTTCAACGTGTTATAAATGCAGTGCTAGCAAGATTTAGGTGGCAGACCTCTCTTATTTACTTGGACGACACCGTCGTGTTTTCCTCGAGCTTCCACGAGCATCTTCGGTGCCTTTAAGCTGCACTTCCACCAATCATGACCTCCGGACTCACCCCGAAGCCAGAAAAGCGCTACTTCGTG